CTGAACGCGTGTTTGACTCACTGATCGTGTGTTTCTGAAAGCAGAGTTATTTGAGTGTGTTTGACTCACTGATCATGTGACTGAACACGTGTTTGACTCACTGATCATGTGTTTGACTCACTGAACGCGTGTTTGACTCACTGATCGTGTGTTTGACTCACTGAACACGTGTTTGACTCACTGATCATGTGTTTGACTCACTGAACACGTGTTTGACTCACTGATCATGTGTTTGACTCACTGAACGCGTGTTTGACTCACTGATCGTGTGTTTTCTGAAAGCAGAGTTATTTGAGTGTGTTTGACTCACTGATCATGTGTTTGACTCACTGAACACGTGTTTGACTCACTGATCATGTGTTTGACTCACTGAACGCGTGTTTGACTCACTGATCGTGTGTTTCTGAAAGCAGAGTTATTTGAGTGTGTTTGACTCACTGATCATGTGTTTGACTCACTGAACACGTGTTTGACTCACTGATCATGTGTTTGACTCACTGAACGCGTGTTTGACTCACTGATCGTGTGTTTGACTCACTGAACACGTGTTTGACTCACTGATCATGTGTTTGACTCACTGAACACGTGTTTGACTCACTGATCATGTGTTTGACTCACTGAACGCGTGTTTGACTCACTGATCGTGTGTTTCTGAAAGCAGAGTTATTTGGGTGTGTTTGACTCACTGATCATGTGTTTGACTCCCTGAACACGTGTTTGACTCACTGATCATGTGTTTGACTCACTGAACGCGTGTTTGACTCACTGATCGTGTGTTTCTGAAAGCAGAGTTATTTGGGTGTGTTTGACTCACTGATCATGTGTTTGACTCCCTGAACACGTGTTTGACTCACTAAACATGTGTTTGACTCACTGAACGCGTGTTTGACTCACTGATCGTGTGTTTCTGAAAGCAGAGTTATTTGAGTGTGTTTGACTCACTGATCATGTGTTTGACTCACTGAACACGTGTTTGACTCACTGATCGAGTGTTTGACTCACTGAACGCGTGTTTGACTCACTGATCGAGTGTTTGACTCACTGAACGCGTGTTTGACTCACTGATCGTGTGTTTCTGAAAGCAGAGTTATTTGAGTGTGTTTGACTCACTAATCGTCTGTTTGACTCGCTGTTTGACTCACTGAACACGTGTTTGACTCACTGATCATGTGTTTGACTCCCTGAACACGTGTTTGACTCACTGAACATGTGTTTGACTCACTGAACGCGTGTTTGACTCACTGAACGCGTGTTTGACTCACTGATCGTGTGTTTCTGAAAGCAGAGTTATTTGAGTGTGTTTGACTCACTGATCATGTGTTTGACTCACTGAACACGTGTTTGACTCACTGATCGAGTGTTTGACTCACTGAACGCGTGTTTGACTCACTGATCGAGTGTTTGACTCACTGAACGCGTGTTTGACTCACTGATCGTGTGTTTCTGAAAGCAGAGTTATTTGAGTGTGTTTGACTCACTAATCGTCTGTTTGACTCGCTGTTTGACTCACTGAACACGTGTTTGACTCACTGATCATGTGTTTGACTCCCTGAACACGTGTTTGACTCACTGAACATGTGTTTGACTCACTGAACGCGTGTTTGACTCACTGATCGTGTGTTTCTGAAAGCAGAGTTATTTGAGTGTGTTTGACTCACTGATCATGTGTTTGACTCACTGAACACGTGTTTGACTCACTGATCATGTGTTTGACTCACTGAACACGTGTTTGACTCACTGATCGTGTGTTTCTGAAAGCAGAGTTATTTGAGTGTGTTTGACTCACTGATCATGTGTTTGACTCACTGAACACGTGTTTGACTCACTGATCGTGTGTTTGACTCACTGAACGCGTGTTTGACTCACTGATCGTGTGTTTGACTCACTGAACACGTGTTTGACTCACTGATCATGTGTTTGACTCACTGAACACGTGTTTGACTCACTGATCATGTGTTTGACTCACTGAACGCGTGTTTGACTCACTGATCGTGTGTTTCTGAAAGCAGAGTTATTTGGGTGTGTTTGACTCACTGATCATGTGTTTGACTCCCTGAACACGTGTTTGACTCACTGATCATGTGTTTGACTCACTGAACGCGTGTTTGACTCACTGATCGTGTGTTTCTGAAAGCAGAGTTATTTGAGTGTGTTTGACTCACTGATCATGTGTTTGACTCACTGAACACGTGTTTGACTCACTGATCATGTGTTTGACTCACTGAACACGTGTTTGACTCACTGATCATGTGTTTGACTCACTGAACGCGTGTTTGACTCACTGATCGTGTGTTTCTGAAAGCAGAGTTATTTGAGTGTGTTTGACTCACTGATCATGTGACTGAACACGTGTTTGACTCACTGATCATGTGTTTGACTCACTGAACGCGTGTTTGACTCACTGATCGTGTGTTTGACTCACTGAACACGTGTTTGACTCACTGATCATGTGTTTGACTCACTGAACACGTGTTTGACTCACTGATCATGTGTTTGACTCACTGAACGCGTGTTTGACTCACTGATCGTGTGTTTCTGAAAGCAGAGTTATTTGAGTGTGTTTGACTCACTGATCATGTGTTTGACTCACTGAACACGTGTTTGACTCACTGATCATGTGTTTGACTCACTGAACGCGTGTTTGACTCACTGATCGTGTGTTTCTGAAAGCAGAGTTATTTGAGTGTGTTTGACTCACTGATCATGTGTTTGACTCACTGAACGTGTGTTTGACTCACTGATCGTGTGTTTGACTCACTGATCATGTGTTTGACTCACTGAACGTGTGTTTGACTCACTGATCGTGTGTTTGACTCACTGATCGTGTGTTTCTGAAAGCAGAGTTATTTGGGTGTGTTTGACTCACTGATCATGTGTTTGACTCCCTGAACACGTGTTTGACTCACTGAACATGTGTTTGACTCACTGAACGCGTGTTTGACTCACTGATCGTGTGTTTCTGAAAGCAGAGTTATTTGAGTGTGTTTGACTGCTTTGAGTGAGTCAAACACACAATCCAGTGAGAGTTATTTTCCCTGACGCAGCCGCAGGACAAACTTCTTGTGTTTCTTTTAATTAGTTTTGAGAAGCTGCAGAAGCCTGGAGTGTTTGTTCACTTATTTATTTAATAAAGTGATATTAATCGCAGACTACATCATTTGGGGCCGGATCAAAATCATATTTCAGTTTCACGTGTTCTCCGTCAACACAACATGACATTTCAGTAAAGTTTCTTTGGTCCTGTGCCCAGTGAACGCATCAACAGACTCGGTTCCCAGTGGAGAGGGAGCGTTGGGGTTTTGTTTCTCAGATATTAATATGCCGTGCTGAAGGTGACTCATTCGTGAACGTTTTGTTGCCATAATCAAATGTCTCATCTTCCTGTTTGTGAACTATTCAGCTGGATTTGAATGCACTTTCAGAACAGAACGCACGAGGAGAAAGCTAATAACCGAAGGCAAACACTCGCATCTGAAGACACAGATGAGTTACAGTCCAGTTCAGCAGTGTAAGCCAAACACACAATCATGACAACATTTAAGACGCTGCCTGCGGTTTCCTAATGTATATTTGACATTTATCAGGTTATTTTGAGGCTGTAAGAACACAGTATAGTCACGGCAGCTTTACATGCACATCGTTCGAAAACATCTGGATCAGTCAGGATGAAGAAACAAACCAGCCAATGAATCTTTCTGAATCAAACAGACTGCTGCAACATTAATCCAATAAAACACTCAATCACAGAAAATGGCATTTTCTTTTAATTTAGTGTCATTTCTATATTTGTATTTAATAATAATGATAATGATTGTTATATCATATTGATTATTCATTGCTTAAAATATATAATTCAATTATTTTTCTTAAATTAATAAACTAATAAATAAATAAATTAATAAAATGTGACTTATGAAACGAGTAAGTGAGACTTAGATCTGAGTGCAAAAATGAGAAGATAGGAGAAACTTAATTTTTCGCCCGAAAAAAAAAAAAACGAAAGGGGTACCACTGTGGTTTTTTTTTCGGGTCGAAATTTTGAGTTTCGATATCTCAGCTCTGGAAGAGTCTAGAGCCTCCATTTTTGCACTCAGCTTTAAGTCTCATGGCCCTCTATCAGAATCCAGAGATTTGAGAAGATTGGAGAAACTTCATTTTTCGGCCGAAAAAAAAAAAAACGAAAGGGGTACCACTGTCGTTTTTTTTTCGGGTCGAAATTTTGAGTTTTTAAATAAAATAACTTTTTATTTTAGAGTGAAATATTACAATAGTAAGTTGTTTTAATTGATTGTCATTTATATTTTAATTGCTAATAATAATAATAAATATATCATATAAATTATATATCATATTGATTATTTTACCATGTTTAAATATAATCAAAAAATGTTGTCCAAATCGTGCAGCCCTTCAAACAAGCACAGCAAACCCGCAAAAAAGATTGAATCGCTTTTTAAAGTGGAGTTATAAATTTGATCGATTCTTTGCTGTTGATCAATCTGACTCGACGGATCAACAAACCAACGCTAGCATCATTCACAATGGAAATAGTTACCACAGTATGCCTCTTAAATGTAATTAAATATATATGATTTATCAGTCAGAATGGCAACCAAGGCTACATTCTCGAAAGTGTTTGTGTGAAAAGATCAAGCCACAATTTGTTTGTCAACAATCCATCTTGATGATGCGGAGGAAACTGGGTTCACTCTAAAAATACCGGGTTATTTTTCTACCCAAATCCTGGGTTGAGCTTTTTGGGTCAATTTGTTTGGGTTATTTTTTCGGTGTTTGTTACACAGATCCTGGGTCAGATATAAGAACCCAGGGTTTGAGTTATTAATTGCAGGCTTTCTGCGACCTCCGTCAAATAGATCCATGTCCTCGGTAACATACAGGATTGTGTACATTTTTTGTATCTATAAATTGTTATTGTGAGATGTTGCCTTGGAACCAAATCAAGAAGAAGCCCTTGAAGAGGCCGTTTGATCGTCACTGACCTGCGTGACGCTGTCCCTCATGGTGGGTGAGCGCTGCTTGCGTGTGGTGGTGGTGGCCATGGTGGTGGTGGTCTCCATGATGGTGGTGGACATGTCTGCGAGTGGAGTGGTGGAGGTGGTGTCGGTCGTCATCACCGAGGGCACGTCTCCCACCAGACGCAGGTTCCCCTGCACCTGAACGTTCGGGTCGCCCTCGGCCGCCAGCTTCAGCACCTGCAGGCCGTTATAATACAGACCCGAGATCTGACCCTGGAAGTTACGACCCTTCTCTCCACCGCCCACCTTAATGAACGCCTGGCTGTTGAAGATCGTCAGCTGCCGACCTGCGGAGGAGGAGGAAACACACCTGAGTGACGGACGGCGAGACGGATGCAAACCTCTGATCCGGAAACACTTCACATCATCTACAGCTCACCCAAACAGTTCACCCACGATTCACACGAGTCGTCCTTGTGTACATCACACTGTTATTACAGACGAATACAATCACAGTTATATTAGAAATGTCCTGAATCTTCCAACCTTTACAATGGCAATGAATGGCCGTTTCTGTTTTGAAGTCCATAAAAGTGCATCTGTCCATCATAAAAGTGATGGATGGACAGGTGCACTTTTATGATGGACAGATGCACTTTTATGATGGACAGGTGCACTTTTATGATGGACAGATGCACTTTTATGATGGACAGATGCACTTTTATGATGGACAGATGCGCTTTTATGATGGACAGATGCGCTTTTATGATGGATAGATGCGCTTTTATGATGGACAGATGCGCTTTTATGATGGACAGATGCGCTTTTATGATGGACAAATGCGCTTTTATGATGATAGATGCACTTTTATGATGGACAGATGCACTTTTATGATGGATAGATGCACTTTTATGATGGACAGATGCACTTTTATGATGGACAGATGCACTTTTATGATGGATAGATGCACTTTTATGATGGACAGATGCGCTTTTATGATGGATAGATGAACTTTTATGATGGACAGATGCGCTTTTATGATGGACAGATGCACTTTTATGATGGACAGATGCACTTTTATGATGGATAGATGCACTTTTATGATGGACAGATGCGCTTTTATGATGGATAGATGAACTTTTATGATGGACAGATGCGCTTTTATGATGGACAGATGCACTTTTATGATGGACAGATGCACTTTTATGATGGACAGATGCACTTTTATGATGGATAGATGCACTTTTATGATGGACAGATGCGCTTTTATGATGGATAGATGAACTTTTATGATGGACAGATGCACTTTTATGATGGATACGTAGATGCACTTTTATGATGGAGAGATGCACTTTTATGATGGAGAGATGCACTTTTATGATGGATAGATGCACTTTTATGATGGAGAGATGCACTTTTATGATGGATAGATGCACTTTTATGATGGATAGATGCACTTTTATGATGGACAGATGCGCTTTTATGATGGACAGATGCGCTTTTATGATGGACAGATGCGCTTTTATGATGGACAAATGCGCTTTTATGATGATAGATGCACTTTTATGATGGACAGATGCACTTTTATGATGGATAGATGCACTTTTATGATGGACAGATGCACTTTTATGATGGACAGATGCACTTTTATGATGGACAGATGCACTTTTATGATGGATAGATGCACTTTTATGATGGACAGATGCGCTTTTATGATGGATAGATGCACTTTTATGATGGACAGATGCACTTTTATGATGGATACGTAGATGCACTTTTATGATGGAGAGATGCACTTTTATGATGGATACGTAGATGCACTTTTATGATGGACAGATGCACTTTTATGATGGATAGATGCACTTTTATGATGGAGAGATGCACTTTTATGATGGAGAGATGCACTTTTATGATGGATAGATGCACTTTTATGATGGAGAGATGCACTTTTATGATGGATAGATGCACTTTTATGATGGATAGATGCACTTTTATGATGGATACGTAGATGCACTTTTATGATGGACAGATGCACTTTTATGATGGATAGATGCACTTTTATGATGGAGAGATGCACTTTTATGATGGATAGATGCACTTTTTATGATGGATAGATGCACTTTTATGATGGATAGATGCACTTTTATGATGGATACGTAGATGCACTTTTATGATGGATAGATGCGCTTTTATGATGGACAGATGCACTTTTATGATGGACAGATGCACTTTTATGATGGACAGATGCACTTTTATGATGGAGAGATGCACTTTTATGATGGATAGATGCACTTTCATGATGGATAGATGCACTTTTATGATGGACAGATGCACTTTTATGATGGAGAGATGCACTTTTATGATGGAGAGATGCACTTTTATGATGGATAGATGCGCTTTTATGATGGACAGATGCACTTTTATGATGGATAGATGCACTTTTATGATGGAGAGATGCACTTTTATGATGGATAGATGCACTTTTATGATGGACAGATGCACTTTTATGATGGATACGTAGATGCACTTTTATGATGGATAGATGCACTTTTATGATGGAGAGATGCACTTTTATGATGGAGAGATGCACTTTTATGATGGAAAGATGCACTTTTATGATGGATAGATGCACTTTTATGATGGACAGATGCACTTTTATGATGGATAGATGCGCTTTTATGATGGACAGATGCGCTTTTATGATGGATAGATGCACTTTTATGATGGATACGTAGATGCACTTTTATGATGGACAGATGCACTTTTATGACGGACAGATGCACTTTTATGATGGATAGATGCACTTTTATGATGGACAGATGCGCTTTTATGATGGACAGATGCGCTTTTATGATGGACAGATGCACTTTTATGACGGACAGATGCACTTTTATGATGGATAGATGCACTTTTATGATGGACAGATGCGCTTTTATGATGGACAGATGCGCTTTTATGATGGACAGATGCACTTTTATGATGGATAGATGCACTTTTATGATGGATACGTAGATGCACTTTTATGATGGATACGTAGATGCACTTTTATGATGGATAGATGCACTTTTATGATGGAGAGATGCACTTTTATGATGGATAGATGCACTTTTATGATGGAGAGATGCACTTTTATGATGGAGAGATGCACTTTTATGATGGACAGATGCGCTTTTATGATGGACAGATGCACTTTTATGATGGACAGATGCACTTTTATGATGGACAGATGCGCTTTTATGATGGACAGATGCGCTTTTATGATGGACAGATGCACTTTTATGATGGATAGATGCACTTTTATGATGGATAGATGCACTTTTATGATGGACAGATGCGCTTTTATGATGGACAGATGCACTTTTATGATGGATAGATGCACTTTTATGATGGATACGTAGATGCACTTTTATGATGGACAGATGCACTTTTATGATGGATAGATGCACTTTTATGATGGACAGATGCGCTTTTATGATGGACAGATGCGCTTTTATGATGGACAGATGCACTTTTATGATGGATAGATGCACTTTTATGATGGATAGATGCACTTTTATGATGGACAGATGCACTTTTATGATGGACAGATGCACTTTTATGATGGACAGATGCACTTTTATGATGGACAGATGCACTTTTATGATGGACAGATGCACTTTTATGAAGGACAGATGCACTTTTATGAAGGACAGATGCGCTTTTATGATGGACAGATGCGCTTTTATGATGGACAGATGCACTTTTATGATGGACAGATGCACTTTTATGATGGACAGATGCACTTTTATGATGGACAGATGCACTTTTATGATGGACAGATGCACTTTTATGATGGATAGATGCACTTTTATGATGGACAGATGCACTTTTATGATGGATAGATGCACTTTTATGAAGGACAGATGCGCTTTTATGATGGACAGATGCGCTTTTATGATGGACAGATGCACTTTTATGATGGACAGATGCACTTTTATGATGGACAGATGCACTTTTATGATGGACAGATGCACTTTTATGATGGACAGATGCACTTTTATGATGGATAGATGCACTTTTATGATGGACAGATGCTGTTTTATGATGGATAGATGCACTTTTATGAAGGACAGATGCGCTTTTATGATGGACAGATGCGCTTTTATGATGGACAGATGCACTTTTATGATGGACAGATGCACTTTTATGATGGACAGATGCACTTTTATGATGGACAGATGCACTTTTATGATGGACAGATGCACTTTTATGGACTTCACAACAGATATACCCATTCATTGCCATTATAAAGGTTGGAAGAGCCAGGACATTGTTTAATCTATCTCTGATTGTGTTGATCTGAAAGAAGAGTGTTATATACACTAGGACGACCTGAGAGTAAATCATGGGCTAATTTAAATTTTTGGGTGAACTATCCCTTTAATCATTGTGTCTTATAATTTAGATTTGCATAATTTTGTATCGTATTTTATCACTATTTATGTTTGTATTGTATGAACGACACCTTTAACTCAATTTGTGTCACCAAGAGCAAGATTTACGGTTTATCAGTCAGTTTCTCTCTCACTCATAAACCACCTTCATCATCATCATCATCATCATCTCCATGGAAACGCCACAGTGGGCAGAAATGACCTTCAGAGGGTTTCAGAGAGCGAGAGATGGAGAGCATGAAAAAGATGATGATGATGATGATGATGATGGGAAATAAACATATTTATTAAAGACTAACAGAAAGGAAAGTTCGGAGGGTGTTTGGGTTTCTTTAAACTGTTGACTTTGGGTTTAAAATACACTTAATATTGAGTATAATTATTAATCTGAATGCACAGACACAATCAAAACACACACACACACACACACACACACACACACACACACACTATGTCCATCACACATCTTAACCTCTGTGAATGTGTTTGACTGTTGCTGAGTTCCCTCAGCGTGAAGAAAGGCAGATCAGACGAGATCTGTGTGTTGTTTTCTGAGCAGGACGAATCGCAAACAGCACACACACATGACGTGGGCTCCTCGGATCCAGACAACACGTCTGCGCGGGAGAGAACGAAACGAGTGCGAGGGAAGATGCTCAGAGTGAAATGAGCCGGAGCTGAAGGACACCAGATCATTCGGTGTTAGACGACGACTGAGGACAGAGACCCGCGCAGGACATCAGTGAGCCATTGAGGACACCAACGAGACAGAGAGAGAGTGTGTGTGTGTGTGATAGGGCTGCCCCTATAAGTCGACTAGAAGAAGTTTGGTCAACCAACATTTTATTAGTGGTTTATTCGCAGGAAAAAGGAAAATTTGGGACCACGGGAAGTGGCGCACTGACCCCTGCAGG